TGGTATAGCTTTCCACAGTTGAGTCTCGGTGTGCTGGAGTCAGCCTATACCAGCGTGTTACACTCAGGAATTCTGGAAGATGATTTGTACACCATTGCTACCATGTTGGGCTTATTCATAAGGACTGGCAAAGGATTCAATTGGGACTATTTACTCTAACAGTCAATTGTTAAACACTCACCAACACAGAATTGAATAAAGACCAGTTAACTTTGGGGAAAAAAAAAGCTCTGTGGCCATTCATGTCTTTACTTTTTAGAAATAAAATTTGCCAAACACTACAGTTATATTTTTTAAAAGTCAACTGTTTCTAGAACTGAGAAATTGGTATTACATGGTCATTCAGACACCAAGACATCAGAAATGGTTTATGTAACTAGCAGCGGTTTCTAATTTCCATGAACACATTTGTTTAAATGCATTGTTTCTTGTTCAGAGTTTGTCTGTGTTCTTTCTGTGGGCAGTGTACAAGGCTCACCTGGCTATCTGGTTGTGTCCACTGTGCAGAATCATATAGCACAAGGAGTCCCATGAGTTTATAGTGCCAAACGTTCAGGAAGGATGTGAGGATCTTATTTATTTTAAGTAACTAAAACAAACTGAGCTTGGACAGTGTGCCTTAAAATGAAGACTCCATTTTTTTGTTTGTTTGCTTTTGAAATAGTCCAAACTTTGGAAGCTGAAGTTAACGATGTAAACTCATAAAGGCCTATATGTGTGGCTTTGGGAAAGTCTTCCTATTTCTGTTGTAAATTAAGTGAATAAAATGTGTGAATGTGAACATGGACTATATATATGCATGCAATATCTACCTGCAAATGAGGTGTTCTGTTTATTTTTTTTTAATCTTTTGAGATGGGGTTTCACATAATACAGACTGACCTCAAACTCGCAACACAGCTAAGGTTGCGCTTGTATTCCTGATCCCTCTGTCTCTGCCTCCCAAGTATGGGGATTATAAGTTTGTACCACCATACCTGGTTCCAGGTGATTTTTCATATAAATTTTCTCTTTTCTTTTCTTTCTTTTTTTTTTTTTGAAAAGGGCATGGTGGCTCTTGTCAACAGTGTCACCAAAGGTATAGTGAGAGAAAAGTGAGAATTACGTTGTACCAGTTTTGAGTGTTTCCTTGAGGGTATAGTTTAAGGTACACTTCTAAGAGAAGTTCTTCTTGGAATATTTGATATAAAACAAAAACATCCAGAGAGAGAGAGAGAGAGAGAGAGAGAGAGAGAGAGAGAGAGAGAAAGAGAGAGAGAGAAGAGTAGTAAACAGTGGAGACGCTGAGTTAATACAGCTGTTTTCTTCGTAATGAAAAGAGAAGCAAATTGATTGATTCTTTGGCTTGTAAAACCTAATCTGAATCAAATGTGTCATCCTGCTCTACCAACTGACAATTCTTTGATTTATCTTCATATGAGCAGTACTGATACAAGATTTGCAAGAAATCAACCAGTGAGCTTTGGGTTTCTAGGACAGATAGGCTGGAGATGACCTGTACTCCAGCGATCTCTGTACACTGCCTGTGTGAAGCAAAGGAGTGCATTACACTACATGAACGTGTAATGTCGTCTGTGCTCTGTGTCACCATTCCTCCCATAGAGAATGTGTCTGTAATCAGTTCTTATTTTATGTCATATTCATCTGCATTTGCAGTATTTCAAAGACTAGTCTGAAACATCTTGGCACAGATGGGAAAAGCAGTTACTTATAAGTTCCAGAACTACAAACAGATCAGGCATCTGATATTAATAAATAGCTTGGTGGGGGGAGGATTAAAAATAAGATTATTTATTTAGAAAGTTGAAAGTCTGCACTTGTGATTATTATTCTGTTCTTGAAAGGAAATAGGTGCTGGGTTTTGTGGGGTTTTTTTGTTTGTTTGTTTTTTCTCCCATCCTCCCATTTCCCCCTCCCCCTTTCTCATGTTTTGAATTAAAATCTAAAGACAGACTGGAAGGCTGTGTGTGTGTGTGTGTGTGTGTGTGTGTGTGTGTGTGTATAAAACTACAAGAAGGATGTGGTAATTCACAGAGTGGTTTGTGATCTCAGACACAGTGGTGTCAGGGACTGAAGACCAAAGGAGAATCATCAGCTTCCAATGGGTTTCCTTGAAGTCCCTCACCCTTGTAGTGTATCACAGATAATAGCTTATCATGGATAATTACATTTTTACAAACGGCAGAGAAAATCATTTTGACATGCACGTAGTATTTTCTAGCCAGGGCAGCTTTTCAGTCTTTCATAGCTTTCATGCATCAAAGTTCATGCTTTCTTTGTTTATTTTAAAATACTATCATTAATAATAGGTTTGTTCTGTGACCAGCCTCCAAGCAGAAGATACCGAGGAAGACTACTTTCTTTTTTTTCCTGTTGCCTGAAGGCAAACATTTGATACCTTTGTAAAACTTAGTACTCCTTATGTTTTTGATTAAGGAAGTTATGGCAACCAAATTTTCATGGAGATTTTTAAGAGCTTTGGTCATTTTTCAGATTATTGCTATATGTAATAGAATGAATTGTGTTTAGTGGCAAATCACTGAAAAGTAAAAAAATAAAATAGGGCAAAGAGTCAGAGGAGAAAGGCTGTCATTGATTTCTTTGCCACTGCTATTCAGTGAAGAGAGTTTTGTTAGCTGAACCTAAAATTGGTCTGTCTTCCACCCACACTTTTTCAGCCCTTCACCTGCATCCAAGTTCCAAGGAGCAACAATAAAACAAATAAGTAAATAAAAAATCAGGGGACCATAATCTTTCCTTAACCCTTTCTGGTCAGATTCAGTGCTTCATTTTGAAAATGAAGCTGACTCCCCCGAGGCCTTTGAAACTTTAATAATGCACAATAAATAAATTCTATCTAATAACTCAACAGTTTCATTTGGCGCCATCATCTTCTAGATGTAGTGCAACTGTGGAAACATAAATACTTGCAGGCTTCGAAAGCCCAGTTTCTATTTGCTAAATAAACTTGGCTGGCTTTAAATTCCGCTGTGTACAGTCATTAATACAATCCATTTTGACAGCATTTAATTAAAGTGCTTTTCTCTATTAAATTCATTAAAAGTTCTCCCCCCTCTCCCCATTGTATAACTGCTTTCCAGATGCTGAGAGGCACAGGGCTGTCAGCCTCCCTTTAAAGTACTTCCCGTTTCTCTTTGTAAAGTGTATTATGCTCCATTTAGGAACTGTTAAATATGGCTTAGAAAGGACATTCTCTCTATCCCTTCAGCGATTTCTTAGAAAACAAATGTTAGTTTAACTATGTGAACAAGTACCTCCCATCTCCATACTTTTCCTACATTGGGTCAGAGCTACTAGGCATTTAAACTGGGATACTGAAGAGGCCATTTCCATGTCAGGCTTGGGGAATTTGCATTGGTTCTAAGCAGGGTACTTGGCTTGAATATTTGCCTGTGGATTCAGGGAGAGTGAGCATAGCTGTCCAGTATTAATAGATTATTGACAGTTTAATGTCTTGGCACCTACTTAGCCAATGAAGTATAATAACCAGGAAGCTGTCTGATATGAAAGCAGTCAATAGCATTTTCAATCAAAACCTTTCAGTTAATTGCTGGTTGACCTTAGAGATTTCCTTTAGGCAATACCATTCTTATTTCAGAGTGACAGAACTATATTGATTTGTGGAGTTTATTCAGAGATGATTATTTAATATCCATTGCTGCAGTGTATGTGGTAAATTTTGCTCTCTCTGCATCTGCCATATGAATTGCCTTTTTGGCCGTGTCCTTCACAAATACTCTTTTTACCAGCTCTACTTTAAAAATATTTCATTAAATCTGTTCTCTTCTCAGAAATAGGAAGTTGGGATTCTTGAAGGCACACATGATCTAGTGTTTTAAGACAATAATGGAGTTTTGATAGAATTCTTTGCTCAGTCTGGAGTTAAAATTCCAACAGAGAGCCTGACAATGCTAAAAACTATATTCTTGGGGAGGGTAACTATATAAGACCTTAAAATCGTTGTACCTTAAAACAAAAGTGTTCTTTAATGCCCAAACGCCTTTTGCTTTCTGTAAGTGAGGTAGCTTATGTTTGGTTTCTAGAATTTCTAGGCTTAGCTTCCATGATTTATTTAGTTTTAGTTGAATATTTAAAAAAACAGATTTTGATAAAATATAAATAAGCTACAAAGCAGTCAAAAATCAGTAAAGACAGTTTATTTTGAACCATTTGCTCACTTTGAAATGTGTGGTGTTGAAGCTGTAGAGGCTAAATGAAAGTGAAGGCAAAAAATACGTACTTATGAATTAATTTTGTTACTTTTTCTTTGTTTCAAGGAGAGTAGCTTCATTCTACTCCAAGGAAAAGCATTTTGCCATTTAATATTTGTTCTGGAGAAGACATTCAGTGCTTTTCCACAGTATTTTGCAGATGGGCAACATTATCACATATATCACTTGGTTGGGGTCAGCACCATCTCAGGAGGCATTGGGATACGTAGGATCCCTTAAAAAGTACTTCTAGCTTTTATAGTCTTTTTGTTCAGGATTCCCTTTCTTTGACTTCTGTGGATTCTCCAGGTTTTATTTGTTGCTTACTGCTTGCCTCCAGCAATGTTTCTTGTCATAGAAGCTGTTGGCTGCAGGCCTTTTGAGCTCCATTGAGAGCTCATGTTCCTGTAGCGTGGGGAGGGGCAAGAGAAGCAATGAATGGACATGCCAGTTTTGAACTTTGAGTACAGCAATACCCTAAGTGACACCTTGAGAGTCAGAACTTCCAGTCTGATAATTGTGGGAATTAAAGAACTGTGTAGACTATGTAGAATGTATGTGTGTATGTAAGAAGTTATTATAAACTATTTTAATTCAGCTCTTTTTAAGAATAAAGGTATTTTTAATGAGTAGGCCCATGTGGCCTTCCTACTGTCTTTACTTAAGAGCTATTAGATGTGCTTCAAAGTTTAGTAATGAGAATTTTGGCTTATTTAATATGGCTGTTACTACTACAGAAGTATTCTGGGCATTCTTTTTTTTTCTCTTAAAGACATGGAACATTTCACAAATTTGCATGCCATGCTCACACAGGGGCCATGCTAATCTTCTCTGTATCATTCCAACTTTAGCATATAAGCTTCCACTGGGCATTCTGTTATAAATTTCAACTATTTATGAAATGAAGGCACAGTGTCTTATCATATGACGTGATACGTATATAGAATAGATAACAATAAAACAGCATGTGAGGACAGAGAAAAGCCACAATAACATTGTCTGAGCCCCAAACATGATCAGTTGAAGAACCCAGAAGGCTCCCAGTAATGGCCCTGTCCTGGGTCCCTTTCTGGATCTTTCCAAAAAAGTGACAGCAGAGCAAAGACACAGAGGTGGGGAGGGTTCAGACCACTGGAGTGCAGCTGGTGCACAGCCGGCAAGGCAAGGGCGGAGGAGCAAGAACTGGGCAAATGTACAAGTCAAGTGACAGTCTTCTGGGACACTCAAGAGACTTTGACCTGTCTTCCAGCTGCTGAAAGCCTTTGACAAGATGTTCTGTGGGTTGTGCCTGCTAGGAGGAAGTGACAGTAATGCAGGCAAGAGATTATAAGTACCTGAGTGACACTGTGGGAGTCTATATGGAAAGAGGAACCTTTGTCCAAGAGCTATTTAGAAGGAATCATCTTCAGCACTTGGGATGGGCTAGATGTTGACTTTAAGATGAGGAAAACAGTGAGAACCCTGTGATCGTGACTGGGGCAACTAAGGGGTTGGTCTTGGAACACCAATCAAGAGCGTTAATGATTAATTTCCTCCTAATGTCATTTGTAAGTATATTTGTTTTGTACTGAATTCTCAGCTATTAAATTAAATCCGCCCTTAGGCAAATTCACATTTGAAAGTATAATCAGTCAACAGTTCCAGCTTCTGAGGATGACCTGCATGGGGTAAGCAAATGTGCTCAGAAAAGCTGAGGGGATATGGCATGGAGACAAAATGGACTTACTTTGTGACTCCAAGTAGATAAGGATGCTAAGTAATGGGCCTCATGGGAGCATCATAGTCATCTACAGCTCAGAGATGGGAATCTTTCTTGTGGGAAAAGGAACTCCAGTCCAGTTACTTTGCCCCAGGGAATTAGGAACTGAGAATTTTCTTCCCAGCAGCCACCCTTGGCACCCTGGGGAAAGGAGATTTGTTTTCTTGACTCATTTTTCATGGGCAAATAAGAGTCCCTGGTCCTACTGACTCTTCACCTCTTACTGGGTATATCTGTCACCAAATTGAGAAGAAAATGTAACAGAATACCTTGTTTCAGTTGGTATGATCATTAATGTGGACAATGTAAAACCAGTATCCCCATATGAGTGACAAGTGATTTAGAATTGAAAAAAATAATAATACTCCAGAATTGATGGCCTGTTAACCTTTGGGAAGTTCTACTTCACACCATTTAATTTTCCCGTATTCATTTTCTCCGGAAAGAAAACAATACCAAGGAGGCCTGTCACTGATGGAATTAAATGAAAGTTGAAAAGGCTGGTTTGATAAGGTCTCACTTGATACCTTTTATGCCCTATGCCACCAAGAATCTTAGCTGCCACTCCCCATAGCTCAGAGGCTGCTGTCTCATGCTCTGAGGAGAAACACTGCTTAGATCATTTGACTTTGTTTACCCAGTTTGGACTTCAGGGTATAATAAGCTATAATATGTCAGTGGTGTGGTAATGCTAGGTATTTAGTCCTTTACCAGAGTCACTGATTATAATGCGCTGCTTAAGATTTGCTTTCTATAAAAGGCATATTTGGACTTTTATGTGTTTGATTCACACAGTGCAGTTTTCCCAAGTCCTGTTATTAAGTGGTTACATCCAGAAAGCAAAAATATGCTGAGGTCGTATTTTATTGGTGTACATCTAATATTTTCACTAACCATAACTGTCAGATTATTCTGACTTCTGAGCGCTCCAACTGTAAAAACTAAAGAAAATGTGACCAATCATGGGTTCCTACATAGGTTCAAGTGAGGCCTCAGACACATGGTCACCCCCAAATAAAGAACTTAATCCGAATACCTGTCCTCGTAAATAATGTATATCCTTTCCTTAACAACGTAATTGACATTTGCTAGTGCCATCCCTATGTTTTGATTTCCATAAAACCCAATTTCAGAGTTCACAAATCATGTATCACAGGCATTGATGAGGAAGTGTTCATTCCAGTCACATTTTTACTTCACTTGAGAATTATTTAGCCAACTAGATTAACTGCTTCAGAGTTCCAGTGATCATAACCTGAACACCTGGCTTTTTTTTTTTTTTTTTTTTTTTTGGCCTTTGGCCACCAAGGAGCCACCATGAATTTTTAGGTTGGTTCTTTAAATACTGTTTTGAATTCCTGTTGCTCAAGTCATCCTTGCCTTTTGCCCTCCCTATTTAGTGACCCTGATTATCTTTAACTTTAAGAATTTCTTTTCTTTAGGCTGGGGCAAAAGCCACCCTTTCTCAGTTAGACCAATGAAACAAGATGTGTTGATTTAAAAATGAGGGTCTCAGAGTAACTGTCAACCAAGTCATTTCCATGTTGCTCTTGACTAATTTTAGAATAAAAATGAAAGCTTTACCAACACAGTTGATATTGCCTGTGCCATGAATCTGGTCTTCAAGAGATAGGCCTTTTCTTTGAATGTATAGGCCAAGTTTTGTGCTCTTAGAAGACATGGTAAAAGTGACAAATGTGTGGGCACAGGGAGAAAATGAATGCACATGTTTGATAGGCATGTGAAACTGGGTATGTAGACTGGGAAATGTTTTCTCTTGGGCATAAGAACACACACCCATAGCCTAGGCCATCCTAATGAATCTTTTCTCCTGAATCCTCTTATGGATTCTTTGTCATGTTTGTGGGACAGTTTTAGCTATGTTAGCCGGAAATGATCAATGAATTTGATTGTCAGGTGTTGCTGATGAGGAGAAAGGTAGAGTCACCATTAGGTTCAGTATGTAGCCAGCACTTGACCTTAATATCTAACTGGAAAAAGGATCATCTCTGCTTGTTTTGTTTTTGGTTTTTTCTTGATGTCATGAGCATGCTATGCCAGAATCATAGATGTACACATTGGTGTCTTCTCACAATGTCAGAATTTAGTTACTAGCAATAAATCACAAAATTTAACCATTTAAATGGCAGCAATTTATTATAAAATCCCTCTTGCCTTGGTAACCCAGGCTCAGCAATCTCAGGTTCTTTAATTCCAATCTTAACTACTAATATTAATGTTCATATTACATATCACACAGAACACAGTGAAGGTATCTATATGCATGTATATGGTTTATAGAATGACAAGTTAAATAAGTGTAGTCATCTTTCTCCCTCAAAATAAACTCAAAAGCTACTTGTAAAATAAAATCTCAACCCACATTTATGCAACGTGGGATAACTTAGAGTGGACATCACCTGATCTCAGACTTGGTGTCTGTTTGATTGAGCTATAATTACTCATCTTAACTTTGAGGTTTTTACTAGGTCAGCTCATCTAGTTATAGTGAAGAAGTAGTTCACTCAGCTGCCTCTTTAGTATTCATAGATTCCAGCCAATATTAATAATTATTTATTATTGGCAAAACATATTATTTAACCCAAACTATACTGAAGTTGTTGTTATGGTTGTTCTCAATTTATTACCGAAGAGGAAATGACATAAGCCAAAGGCTGTTTAAGATCCACGATTCCTCCAACGCCTGAGTTTATTTTAACAGATTATTGTGTCACAGTGTTGTTATGCTTTTATCTTTGACCAAAGTGTTTATTTTGAGAAACAATTATTAAATTGCATTAAAAACACACACACAATCTTCCAATAGAATCGTGGTTACAATATTATAGGAAACTCTGGCTAAGGCTGGAGGAAATTGAACATGAATTTCCATGTTAGACTTCCTACCATTTTGCTTGTTTGTATTGATTTCTTTTGACATGGTCTTCTTTTATTGAGCTCCGTTCTTTTCTTTCTTTCTTTTTTTTTTTTAAATCCCCTTCCTATACCTATATGTGCTAAGAGCAATTGTAAAAAGAAACCAACTTATATTAAACCTGCCTGGAGTCAGAATGTAATCTCACACCTGTAGTCTGCCATTTGTCATCACTTCATGGATACTTTTTTTTAATAACATATTTCCTGAGTTTTGACCTTAGGATACTGTATAATCCCAGAAAAGCAACAAAACTAAACCATAGTTTTTAATAAGTCTTATGTTAGGATGTGAAATTACAACCATAAGAGCCAACTCAAATAACATCATTTGAAGCTAAAAATAGTGCTGAGTTGTGTCTAAGAGAATATGTTTTGCCTGTGAAAATGTCTCTGAGTGATAAAGTCAAGAGGCAAATCAAAATGCATGTGTAGTTTCCCTGCATCCCTTCTCTGGGGCCTTTCTATATGATTAGACTCAAGTAAAGGTGCTTTCAACTGCAGACTCCAGTTTGAATTTTTTAGTAAAGAACTTGGTTATCATTAGGGGGAGGCAGGGCTATGTGTCAAGTGTGATTCATATAGTATGGAAGTTTTCAAGCTTTTTGGTCTCAAGACCCTTTTTCATCTTTACTATTGAGGACCCCATATTGTGTCAGGTATATCAATATTACTCTACTAGACTTTAACTCTTACAAATTAAGAAAATGTTTGCTAAGTTTTAAATAATTATGGAAGATATATATTTATGAAAAATATTGCTAAAACAAAATTTCCAGGTCCTCTGCAAGAGCAGCCAATGCTCTTAACTGCAGAGACATCTCTCCGGCCCCTTAATGCCTTTTTTAATGCATAACAACTGGATTCTCATCCTTGCTTCTACATTTAATGCAATCTGTAGATTTGGTTGAAGTCAATAAAGAAAATCATGCTTCAGATAGACACGTAATTAGAAGAATATGAATTATTTTAACAGGCTTTCCAGATGATTGTGAAATTCTTCTTTCATACTGTAGCAATTTACAAGTAACAGTTTTTAAAGGTTACTTGCAAAGTAGAATTGACCCCTCAAGTATATTGGTGAACCTTTCATATTTTCATACATTACTTTATTCACTGGTGTGCACTGAACTTTGAGTGGGTCTTTTACCAGTTTATAACTTTGTAGCATTATGTATTA